CGTCAAGGTTTCGTCAGGTATGTAATTTGACGATACCTTTCGTCAATTCAAAAATAATTTCGTCAAGCATCTTTAGTCAGAGTAGATAAAACAGATATATCTGATACTCACATAAACCACTATAAGAATGCTATTAACTATGTTTAGTGTTAAAGAAATTACTTTCTACGAATCCACCCATCAATATTCTCTATTTTTCTTATCTCTTGAAAACTTTTTTGTTTTTTTTTTGATCTGATAAAAATATATATTTATTTTCTTAAAATATCTGATATATATGATAAGCCCTGTAAAATGTGGAATATTCATTTACTGCATGTTCATTCTCCTATTATATACTAATGGTAAAGAATATATGTAACTAAATTAAAAAACATCAATCAACGTTATTATAACTCGTTTATTAAATGTCTTAATTTAGCAAACACATGCACGGGAACGAGCAATATCAGACATAGAACCAATAAAATCAAGCAAAACTTTCGTTGGAACAATAATGATATCATCACTCCCAATTTCTGATTTGTCATTCCTAATTTACCAATCCTTGTGAGCACAATAGATATCAATTCTAATGAAAATACTTGTCGAATCTCACTCCCAAATTTAGTATCGGCCATAAGTATTGGGATCTCAAATCAAACCCTTTTAACAACATTGGAATTCCCTTCTCTATACATTAGCGGTTAAACAATTACCAAGTTTAACTGATTTGAGTTTTTCTGCAAGATTGAATGAAACTAAGAATCTAGAGATAACAGAAACGGGCGTAAGAGGAGTGTTCTCTTTAAATATAAAGAAAATGACCAGTTTACGGGTAGAGAATAATCAACAATTGGAAATTTTACGAGTTCCAAATATGAGAAGTATTGATACAATTTATCTTGTGGGGAATAAAAAACTTGATTTTACCGTAAGTTATGATTTTAAAAGACTTAAATGTAGAAGATATACTCTTTACATAATTGTATTATTTAAATGAAAAAAAGCACCAAATTTGGAATTGTAAACGACATAACTGTTAAAAACATGCGCTCATTCAACCTACCCGCTCTTTCAACGATATCCAATAACCTCATGATATCACCTTCCTCACACTCCAAAACCTTCACACCGTAACAGGCAACTTAACAATAAAAGATAATCAGTACTCAAATCCGCAAATTTCCCAGAACTTCAAATGGTTGCCCTTCTTTCGTAATTTCTAATAGTGCATCTCTCAAAAAAATCGATGGATTTCCAAAGTTAGAACAGATAGATGGATCCATAGACGTTACAGGAACATTTTCAGAGTTCGAATTATCAAAGCTAAATAAAATTAAAGGCGTAATAGACGTGAAAACGAAATTTAAACGATTCAAATATGAGGCAATTGACTAATAAATGAAGGTATTAGTAATAATAATATCTTGGGTCGTTGGGTATTAGTGGTTTGATCCCAGACAGTGATAACGGAAATACATGACTGATACTGATCGGTATCAGTCATGTATTTCCGTTATCACTGTCTGGGATCAAACCACTAATACCCAACGACCCAAGATATTATTAATTAATACCCTGACCTCTCACATGATAAAATACGTCATTAGTTCGTACGTAATTAAAGCT